ACTTCGAGGTTCACCAAGTGCTGCGCCTGCCACGAAATCTGCACTTCGAGGTTCACCAAGTGCTGCGCCTGCCACGAAATCTGCACTTCGAGGTTCACCAAGTGCTGTGCCTGCCACGAAATCTGCACTTCGAGGTTCACCAAGTGCTGTAATTACCTGCCACGAAATCTGCACTTCGAGGTTCACCACACCTCAACGAGCCACATGTCCAAAAGTCATGATTCACTGCACCTGTCACGAAATCTGAGCTCCTCGACGATCACCAACATGTCCGAAGTGCTGCACCTGCCACGAAAACTGCATTTCGAAGTAAAACAGCTCCGATCCCTTGCACCTGTCACAAAAAGTCGACTTTAGAGCACCAAAACACGAGGTTTCCCTTGCACCTGTCACGAAAAGTGACCACCATGAACGAAAATGCGCACGGCACCACAACGAGAGCGCAGTTGCGACAAGCACACGCTCCAGCCACCCAGATTCTGCGAGCCTGCGCAGTCGAAATGCACATTGACGATGTCGAGAGGCATGAATGTGCTGTACATAGCAGCGAATTAGCCGTTCACGCCCGCACGCTTCAGCGATCTAAGCATCAGCTTCCTTTCCCTTACCGTAAGAACCCCTCAGTGTGCCCACACTGTTTGGGGAACCAAGAAAAGGAAGGAAAAAACGAGTTCAAGGTATCACGCTCGACCATCCAGCTTCTCCTTTCGGATTGGCACGACATGGAGTCGAGCTATTGGTTTGATTCAGTGTGTTGGATGAAAACACATGCCTTCGAGAGGGGGATACCCGCTGTACCTCGCTGTCTAGCAGTCTTGAAAAACAAATGATGTGTCTGAAGCCTATGCCACTAGCCGGCCGTTCAAAAGCCCATCAACGATAGACCATGGACCATGGTTTGACCATTAAAAAAGTGGCACCTCGATACCATCCACTTGGAGTCATCCGTGAACTTCAGCCATCGGCTCCCATCACCTGGCGTTCGTCACTCAACAACGCGTTCGTCTCGTCACTGCTCGACACATGGGCGGTATGGACTTTGAGACCTGGGGAGACCTAGGGAGGCCTGGATTGATTCTTTGTAGTTCATTGCATATCCTGTTGAGGTCAAAAAGGAAGGAAGAATCCAGGTTGAGACCTATGGAGACCTTTGTAGTTCATTGCATATCCTTGTTGAGGTCAATCTGGAAGGAAGATCCCGAGATTTTACTATGTTTTACTGGCTCACATTCGTGCAAATGAAGTTTTGCGATGTGAAGCTTCTGGAAAACCAGAAAACTGAAAAGAAAAAAAGAGAGAGAGAGACAGAGAGAGAAATGTGGCTACGGCCCAACTTCCTTGGTGAGAAACGTGTTCGCAAAAATCCGCAAAGACTTCCTGCTGGACATCTCCACCTCATGAACCATGGTGAAGATCCGGCCCAACGTCTCTCTAAGGCCCGTGCTCTTCCTCAGCCTCACTCGGCCATTCAGCGTTCCGTCCTCCATGTAGATGCCATTCACCGCCTGGTGGAGCCACTTCATGCGCAATCGATCCGATCGGCGCTTAGCGAGACGCTCTCAGCGAGCGTGGAGTCCAGGTGGATCTGTTCGGTGGATTCCTTGCCATTCTTGCCAACCAAAACGTGTGGATACACATCGAACGAATGCATGTTCTTGCGATCTGTCATCCATCTTCTGATTCTGATTCTCACCGAAAAAACACCGATGCACCAGGAGCTGTCTCTTCTCAAGAGACCGATGCCCAATGTTCGAGGCGACGAATTCTCCGCGCTCCGCGACTTCGACGAAGCGAGGGCGAGTTCAATTCCTTCGCGCCTGGCTGTTCCAGCCCTGCCGACCACAAAGGGCCACAGAAATCTTCGAGCCTTCGCCCTGCTTTCGCGATGGCGATGTTTCGCGGTGACGGCGGGGCTGGGGCGGTTTTTTACTGAAAGCTAGACATTTTGGGGGAGGCATCCTTTCTCCAAAGGGAACTAAATGCAAAGATCTATTGTTTAGCCAGCACGGAATGAAGATGCTTACTTGGGTTTGTAGGAAACGGAGTGAATTTCCGGGAGTTGTCTGTCTAGATTCAAGACGCACCCAATCTTTTCCAGCAAAAGGTGACATGATGCAAGATACGTGTCATCTCATTCATGAAGAATATATTTTCCAGCATGTCCCACTGGTTTCTGAGTTTGATGCTGTGAAAAAAAAAAAAAAACATGTGTGGCCTCATCTTGCTCTTTGGCAAGAAGCTCAAATCTGGAATAGTCCACATTGGGCTTGACCTTGCAAAGCTAACACACCACATGAACTCATCCAGGTGGCAGCCAGCGCGCTGGTCCTCCCACGACCAGACCAGAGTTATATAACCACTTCGTACAAAGCGAAGATGCGTCCGAGCCAAGTCATGCCAAGTCACTTGGCTTGCGTCCGGTCTCGCGCCGCCTGACGCAGTCTCGTCTCATGAGTCGTCTCAGGATCTGCTTATGTGCCCTGAAAAGGATTGAAAACTAAATCCCAAATGCTCAACTCGCAAGGCCTCCATCTCTGAGTCGTCGAAGTGCATCGGTCTCTGGGCCGTGCGGCAGCTTGCCGCCGCGCGGCGCATGCTCCGCGTCGGTCTCCAGTGGCAAAACAGCCCGACAGCCAGTTCAACTTCATCAGCTCAAAATAATGAAAAGCAAATGGCAAGGGATCAAAACATCTCAAAACCCCTTAGCCTCCAATGCATGTCCCTCATGTACACTTCGAATACAAAGAATGTATACTGAGATGTTTCTCAAGTGCTGATCAAAGGGAGAACCCCAGCAATGAACGGTTGAGATAGAAGTTTTCCCGAAGTAACTAATGTCTTCCTCTTAACTCTTGATAAATAAGCCCACCCACCCTTGAATTGAAACACCTCGTCATATCGGGATCATCGGGGGGTGGTTGATCCCTCCCCCTTTTGCTCCCCCACCCCGTGGCTATGTCCTTGATCGCACGAAGGCGGCGACAGAGCCTGGGACCCAACGGGTGCCAAAGTCAGGCGCCGCAACGAGTCACAGCGATTCCAACGTGGAGGCCATCGCTACTAGAAACAGAAGAACAGGAAGAAAGGTCTTTACTTAGCTACAATGTCCTAGATCTCTGCAGTAACTACATTATAGGAGGTCTTTACTTTAGTTTGCTAATGTCCTTACTTTGCAGATCAGCTGCGAACGCCAAAGGGCACCCAGCCCAATCCAGCAGGACGAGCCCATCATGAAGGAATGCAGACTGTCTTGAGCCAAGGACGCAGTGGGGTTCCAAAAACAAATCCACATGTTATTTACAAAACTGAGACCCCCCAACCAGTCTGCTGGGTCTCAAAAGAAGTTTTACCTGGAGGGTCTCCTATTCAGACCCAAGCTACACAAGCCTCAGGCTCCAGACCACACAGTCTCTACTTGCCAGCGTTGGAGTTGGGGCCACGCTTGGGTCCACTCTTCACCACCTGAGGTCTCAAACTCAGATCCAATCCGAGTTGGCCCACAGATCTGCTGCGTCAGCATGTACTATAACTATACATCAGAATCATCAGAAGACTGGCTGTGGCAGTGGCAAAAAAGAAACAGTCGGATGATCTCCATCCAGTCATGCACCGTGTGGACCGGTGATTTCTTGGAACAATCCGACTTGGAGCCATTGATGGTGTCTGTCTGCACTAGACGGTCTAACCGGCTCGTCTTCTCGCTCCCCTCCCGAGATCCGCACGCTCACGAATCGCCGATTGTAGACGAAGCGCTTCTTGGCGCGGCCCGTGAGCTTCTGGCGTCGGCTGGGAGTGGAAGGAACCGCGGTTGCACAACGCACAACAGGTCCGGTGAACATCCAAAGCACACATAGAGCAAAAATGCACCAAACATCGCAAATACTTGCTGAAAGGACAAAGGCAAGCACATAGCCAACCAGGTATCTTCTTAGAACCAAGCATCCCAGGCATCCCGCCTTCTTCTTCTCAGCCTTTGCGACTTTGGGTGTCTGATTCTTCACTTTACCCGCGCGCGCCAAACCTGATCACTTGGATCGGCTTCTGAAAGCGGCTTCCGAAACGGGTGCCCCAACGGCATCGGAAGCACGCGAAACTGGCATCGATGTCGTCATCTCAGGCACTGGCTTCCGTGCACCTGCTCCAAAAGAGAATCTGATTACTTTCACTTATATATTGATCATGAATCATGATTGTATTCCATGGTCAACTGGATGCCCGTGGTTCTTTTTCCGAAGACCAAAGAGTTCTGTGATGTTCACTCCACGTAACCATGATGTTCAAGGAATCGATATGCATATATATATATATATACGACATTCAAAGGAGATGTACTTTCCCTAAGATTCGAGGAAGCTTGGAGCGATTGGGGCCGTAGGACCAACCTCGCTAGACTTCTTGATTCCTTTGTCACTTGGTTTCAGCATCACAGTGTAACTCACACGCACAAATGGAAGATCGAAGAAGAAATCAGTGGCAGTCACCCACCTTTCCCATGTTGGACGGCCGCCAGGTGATCTTCCCGTGATGTTTGGGCCAAAATGATGCCTGTTATTTAGGGAGTCAGGAGCAGCTGAAGAAAACACGGACATCCATGCATGGGTGTTTGTGCACTACGCAGGCAGCATTAGCCAAACCTTACACATCCACATTGCTGCAAAGACTGAATTAAATGTGATTTATTGCAGAACATCACCTCGCAAGACAAGCAGGCTCTAGCTTGATCGCTGGCGGTGCGCCGAGGTCAGTTGACATCAGTTGCCTTTTGGACAGTGTCACAATCTGACACATGGCCATGACAAAATGCAAAACCTTATACATCTACAATGTTACAACAGTCCTTGAATGCTTCGAAGGACATACGTAACATATTGAAAGCTGTTATCGGCAGCTGTAAGCAGTCCGAAGGAGAAAAACCAGCGACGCTGCTAAGGCTAAGGGTGAATCAGCGCGCAGCATCATTCAATGAGTCAATGAGACATGAGAGCACGTCGTGTCAAAAATTTACTGGGTTCGTGCATTTGTCGCTTGTGGCCGGCCCCAAACCCAACTCTGGACCCCACAAACGGCGACCAAAGGGAGGACAAACCTGGCAGGAGATTCTTCTCCGCCTCTCTAAGGCAAAAGATCGTAGAGTCGTTATTCCTACCTGCTGATTTCAACTGGATGGGACCAGCGGCATGTGAGCATTGTAAGAGGTTGCGGTCAGTGGACATCTCACAAACCGAGATAAGTGAAATTCTAGGGGGCACCTTTGCCCATTGCTCGCAGCTGCAACAGCTTCGACTCGCCAAAGCGGTGAGGCGAAGCTGGGCGAGACGCCCTCCTAAATTGCATCTCCTTGGGTGAACTCTACATCCCACCCACTTTGTTATACATTGACAAACGAGCATTTGCTGGCTGCATACAGCTGAGTACGCTCATTCGAGTAGGACGCAAAGCTACTTGGAGAGGGACGTACGCAGAGTACGATGCGTTCGAGTCATGCAAGCAGCTCACACTCCCGAAATGGATCCGGCTCCTCCCAAAGCCTTCCGATCGTCATGAGGAGTGGGCCGACTTCATGAAAAGCTGTGCTGAATCGAACCTCCGAGGAGCCTGACAACTCAGACCTGTGTCCACATGCAGGTTCCGAGTGAGCACACCTGCCGAGCTGGCGTTGGTGACACTGCTACCAACACTGAGTAGCTAGACAGTACCCAGGGCTGCCTCCCAAGGGGTGGTTTTGGATGAATACATAGAGTACAGATGTACAGTTCCTAGGACCTGGCATAGCGGCGTTTCACCGTTTCACGTAGTTCATGGGGCATGCATGTCTTCACTGTTTCAAGGGCAATCGAGTTGAAGCATGGAGATGCTGAGCTTGTCGAGGCTTGTCAACAGAGTCCTGTCTGCAACATTTCCGGAGGGCAACGAAATGTCACGTCGCCTCATCACCATTGCTCCCGCTTGTCATTTTGGAGCCACTGTCATGGTGCGCACTCTTTTCACCGCCTCCCCCTTCGGGGGGGGGGGGCCAAGGATGAGGGACCGCTTGTCTTGGTTCATCTCGTCCTATGTCCTCTGCAGGTCATGACTTCCGTAAGTTTGGCACTCGATCCCTCGATGTATCACTTTCCCACGCAAAGCCCTCTGTGCATAGCTGCTTGTGCTCAACTGTGCTCAACCAAACTGCGCTCTTCGCAATCATTCCATGGGGTTTTGATTACAGTTTTGATTACAGTGAGTCGGAGACAGTGATGACCACCCCCTGTCTCAATTTGTTGTGCTGCTTATCACGCATTCGAAGCCTGAAGGAACCAAGCTGTGACATACTGGTGCTGTCATGTGCCAAGTGATGATACCGACTTGGAGCAAACTGAATCTGCCTGAGGCAAAGCCGTGTTCTTGGATATAAGTCATGGTTTGCCTGCCACAACGCCATTGCTCGCGGTGTTCCAAACTCCTGCACACGCTGGGACACCACTGGCGCACATGGGCTGGCACCAATATTGTCACACAAGTACTCACTGCCCGCAAAAAGGAATTTCCTGATCTTCAAGTACAGAGTGCAAACAGAAGAACGAATTCAATGCCCCGTCTCACATCTTTTTCACGACAGTCGCTTCGGCTTTCATAGCCCTGATGAGATACGAGCCCGGCCTTTTGGCTTTGGTGTTTTGGTTTTGTTTTGGTGTTGGGTTTGGGTTTGTTTTGTTTGTTTGGTTGTGTTTGTTCTCTGGTGCTTTGTGCAGGCGCTTGGCTCGTATCTTCATAGTATCTCTATTTAATTCAATCAAGGTGACTTGTGCCTCTCGGCACACATAGCGCCTCCACCCGTGCAAAAAAAACTAAGGTGACTTGTGCAGAACCTGCACACATAGCGCCTCGACTCGTGCAAAAAAAATATGAGTGTCGCCAAATTTGATAGATTTGAAGACCTCGAAGATCATGTGGTCGACTACCTTGCCTCAGTGACTGACCTGAAGGTCTTTGGATGTACAGTCGACTTCTTGCAAGCTGATACGCACACCTACTTAGAAAATCCAATCTGGGAAAAATTGCAACAAAGCACAGAGTACACCATGGTGTTTCGCAGCTGCAGTGAAGTCCTTCCCTCAAAGGAGACTTTCGAAGGGTGTCCATTCCGAGACATTCCCCTCGCAGTCCATGTCCCCATGAATCTAGAGGAGATGGTCCCTGAGGGCGCTTTCGCAGCGGTGCCGCGTCTGCGTCACGTCAGCATAGAAGCAGGAATTAGGGTAGTGGGTGCAGAGGCATGGCAGTGTTGTCGACAGCTACGGATTGTTAGAATGCCAGCTTCGGTGGTAAGAATGGCAGACAACACATTCCGAGGGTGCCAGCTGCTCAACAAGCGCCTGGCTGCGTGGAGTTTGGCTACAAAGCCTTTGCTGAATGCAGCTCTCTGCAGTGGGTCTGTGCTATTGAGGGCGTGGCGAATCAATTTTGTAGTTCCACCAAACTTGGGCACTATCTCTTTCGAGATTGCATCAACTTGGCCACTTTTGTCTTGCGAGAGGCTGCTCACAGCTCGAATGCATGCCAGGGAGCTGTCACAAGGATGCCTCAGCTCCACAGGGATTGGTACACTTGAGCTTACGAGGGCCTTCCAAGTGTTGGGAGCGCATGCCTGTGATAACTGTCAATTGTTGAAGAAAGTCGACTTTTCAAACACAAAGATCGAAGAAATACAGGAATTTACATTTGTGCACTGCACTAGCCTTTGTGAAGTCAGACTACCATACACGCTCCATACCATAAGAGTAAAAGCCTTCATGAACTGTACTGCACTGCCGGACTAGCCATACCACCCTCACTGCACTACATTGCCAGCCGAGCCTTTCTGGACTGCACTGCACTCCGTAGGCTTGTCAAGCTCCCACACCAGCACAAATGGAGGGGTATATATGCAGAAGAAAATGCTTTTGCCATTTGTCTTTTTTTGCACGGGTGGAGGCGCTGCGTGTGCCGAGAGGCACAAGTCACCTTGATCGAATTAAACAGGGATACTAGGAGATACGAGTCAGACACCAAAACAAGCAACAAAACAAGCAACCAAACAAACAAAAAACACAACCCAAACACCAAAACAAACCAAACGCACCAAGACCAACAGGGCAGCATCGTATCTCATAAGGGCTATCAAGCCGAAGTGACAATCGTGAAAAAGCGGTGAGACGGGGCATTGAATTCATACATCTATTTGCGCTCAGTACATGAAGATCAGGACGTAGCGAACTTCTTTTTTCCGGGCAG